GAGAGAGAGAGAGATAGAGAGAGAGAGAGAGAGAGAGAGAGAGAGAGGAAGATAGATTCTTATCGAATTTAATAATGCGTGGCTGCAGGCCTGTAGCTGCTCCCTGCACTGTACTGGTTGTATTGTAGAGCAAAACCCATGTGGCTACGTGTCTTTTTCGTATTATGGTTGATGGGTATATAATATGGCTAGTGATCGTATGTAGCAGGGCGAACAATTAAGTCATGCCCTACTACCGACTATTGCAGTAAGCTAAATTCTCGGTCTAACAATTAGTGGCTGGATAATGAAGTCACATTCTTAGTCTCTTAGTAAATGACCAATACTACAGTCTCTCCAGAAAAAACGTTCTCCATTCAAATCGATCATAGACCCATATTACTCCATCATTTAGACCGATATAATGTTGACCGACTGTTGTAATGTAATGTAATGTTACTGTTTATGTAATGGTTGTTGTTTCAACATCAGCTTCAAGCCCAGCTGCAGGCATTGCTTCCACAACCAGATCTGAACGCAAGCAAGGAACCCGACGACATCGACGCCGCTCTTAACGAACTTCAGGTGTCGCTAGAGGGCAGCACGTTGGCCGGCCGTTCCGGCGACATCACCGCTATACCGGAGCTGGGTGACTACCTACGATTTATGAAGTAAGGGGTTTGGTTATTGCACTCGTTCATCTACCATGACATAGAGGGAGAGCTGTTGTTTTTACACATCGTTAGTCTATCCATCGGCAGTGGATTTTATCTATGCATCTCATATATGTTTATTATATAGTGTATGTTATGTGTAAGGCCAATAAATGCAGTATGATCATAGAATCGTAGATTTTACACATTTCCAAATTAAAGAGTGTTCCTTGGAAGTTCAGTTGGATGTTCGAGTGGGGTCTTTTATTGATATATCTATATTGGTAGAAAAACCGGCTTGTCTGTAGCGAAATGTCGGATTCAGCTGTAATTTTCACGTGCTAATCGTGAGGACATTGTTCCAGCCCTTCACTGTGGGAACTCCTAATGAATAACCTAGATTAAAGTTGTGCTGTGTGTGGGATAGGCAGTATCAGCACCACTCGTCTGTCAGCTAACAAGCCGATTCATTCTTTCAAGGCCGAAGAAGTTTACGTTGAAGAGCTTCAAGCCGTACTGGTTCGTCTTCAAAGACACTCACATCTACCAGTACAGTAGCAAGGAGGAGGCTCATGCCATGCCCCTGATGAATGTAAATTTAGTAGGTAAGACTAGGAACATGTATGCTAAGTTGCTAACTCCAGAAGCATCTATATGTCATTATTTTGAAAAAGAAAGTTCATTATGGTATCGAATAGTGAATAAATATAAAACGTGCTTATTTTAGTTCGATTACAAAAAATTTTGGTTACTATTTCTATGGTTAAAGGATGCTGCATTCTGTCTATCTTAGATGAATTAATCATCAAAATATATGTCTAATCACACAATTATAAATCGATTGCATTTTGTCTTGTATCTAGGTTGCGAAGTAAGTCCAGATGTTAACATATCTGGACTGAAATTTGGAATTAAGCTGATGATTCCAACACCAGAGGGCATGACTGAGGTGTGGTTACGATGTGAAAATGTAAGTCCTGCACTGTAGCCTTGTTTTCTAAACAAAGCAATATAAACAAACGGTGTAACAGTGACTGTCATTGAAAAATATCATGAACAATTTTTGAGGAAATCGGTCGAAGAGTTATCGGCATTACAGTCCTCTCGTTCACTGATTTATTAATAGCGTCATGATTATACAAATCTGTACCTTTGTTCAATCATACAGCGACTTCTGTATAGAAGTTAAACCCATATATAAGAGTCCCTCAAGAGGCAAACCCCAGTTTGTGTCTTTATAGACAGGTGTCCGTTCTATGGAGGTGGTTTCACTGTATAACTGCCTCGTAAGGAAAACACTGAAGGTGTCCCTTATAGATACGTGTCTAGTCAGTTCTGTAGAGGTGCCTGCTAACAGAGACTGTGTACACATATTGCTATGATGCTGTACTGCGTGTTAAAGGAGCACCAGTACGCGTGCTATATGGCTGCATGCAGGGTCGCGTGTAAGGGCAAGACGATAAATAAACCCAAATATAGGAAGTAAACATGTATAGAATCAAATATATATAGCGAGTAGGCAAACCCCAGTTTTACCACGTATTAGTATGATGATGCTGTACTGCATATTACAGGAGCACCAGTACGCACGCTGGATGGCTGCGTCCAGGCTCGCGTGTAAGGGCAAGACGATAAATCAACCCAAATATAGGAAGTAAACATATATAGAATACCATATATATAGAGAGAGAAGGCAAACTCTCAGTTTTACCACGTATTGCAATGATGCTGTACTGCGTGTTACAGGAGCACCAGTATGCACGCTGGATGGCTGCATGCAGGCTCGCGTGTAAGGGCAAGACGATGGCCGACAGCACGTACGAGTCTGAAGTGTCCTCGATCCTCGCCTTCCTCAGCATGCAGGCGCCCGCGCAGACGACCGCCGCCGTCAACCCGAACCAAGCCGACATACAGCCGGAGCATTTCGTCGCGCCACGATTCCTGAAGAAGTACAAGACAAAGCAGGTTTGTGTGTCGGTCTTGCTTCGGTTTTTCATTTCAGGAGTGCAGCTGTGTTTTCGTTGCAGAGTGCATGCATTAGTGCTACCATGAGTGCTTTCTCGCGTGGTTTTTTATGTGCTGAATCTATCTGAAATTAGTTGATTCGTGACCAATATCTGATTTCTTCCGGTTTTCCATTAAGGGCAGGTGAAATTTTGCATTGCGTGGTTGAAATTTTGGGAATAATTTACGGGTCTGTCTGAGGTTTCTGAATAGAGTAGCTGTAGTCCCCACACATTTAACTTAATATAATCTCATTGACAGATAGCTCAGCGAGTCTTGGAGGCACATGCGAACGTGTCAGAGTTGGCACTGCACGAAGCAAAACTGAACTACATCAAAGCCTGGCAGGCATTGCCTGAGTTTGGCATTACCTACTTTACAGTCAAGTTCAGAGGCTGTAAGAAAGAAGTAAGCCACAGTATAATATGTACATTATGAATATCCGTGCATGTATATTTTCGAAATTCACAGAATAGCTGATTTTCACGACTACAATTGCTTTCAATTCTGCAATTCCTAGGTTCATCAGATTAGTATAGGTCGTAAGTCAGTACATGTGACATGCTCAATATTTATTGTATGCCTTTTGTGTATGTATTGCCCCTTTTTCTATTATTTTTTTTTAATGTATTTTTTACAATCTCAGGAATTACTGGGGATTGGATTAAACCGTCTGATTCGGATGGACATCAACAATGGCAACTCACTTAAGACCTGGCGCTACAACAGCATGAAAGCATGGAATGTCAACTGGGAGGTAGGTGGTCTTACTACAAACTATATTTCCAACAGTGAAATGACTACCTTCCATACAACATTTTGATATGTGTTTTATGGCTGAGTAATCCTATATAGAAAATTCCACCGCATTGGCTGCGTTCACGTCTCTATTTCTCTCGTGCTTGTGTGTGCTGTCTTGCTCCCTCTCCATCTTTCTACCTCTTGCCCCTTCCTTCTCTTTCTTTCTCTCTTTCTCCTCTCTCTCTCTTTCTCCCTCTTCCTCTCTATCTCGCTTGTTTCCCCTCCTTATCCCTCTACATCTTCCCCTCTCTCATTTCTTCATTCACTTGTTTCTTTCTCATATGTTGCTCACATGTTTGATACAGGTTAAGGAGATGCTCGTTCAGTTTGAGGAGGACAACGTAGCATTCTACTGCACGTGTGCCGACTGCAAGGTTGTGCACGAGTACATAGGTGGCTACATCTTCTGCTCCATGCGTTCCAAGGACTCCAATCAGTCTCTTAACGAGGAGATGTTTCACAAGCTGACTGGCGGCTGGGCATAGAGTGTAGCATACCGGGTGTTGTTACGTTCGTTTGTGCCGCCACTGACAACGCCTGCTCGTTTCCGAAATCAGTTGACGTATATTTTTGTTAGATGATTTTTCGGGGATGCGAATTATTCTCGTTTTTTTAGTGTCAGTTGTTGCGCGTGCATCCTACTGCAGTGTTTGTTGGTGATTGCCTGATCCCAGCTGCTGTTGAATAATGATATTATATTTCCTACTCTTGATTTTTACTCCCTACTACAGCATTGATGAGTGCCGGTTCGTATAGCTTGATGATCAACGTGCTTGCCTGCACTTGTATGTAGGTAAAGCCACACGATATTATGCAGATATCGTTGCTTTTCTGAACTCATCATTCATATGTGTGAGAATTTTGTACGCAGTACGTTGTACGTGCTAGTGTTCCTCCGCTTTACATGGAAAATGCCAGGCTCCGGACCATGTATTGGCAATCGGTTTCTAATACAGCTCTCCACTTACCTATTATCAAGAGCCCATAGACTAATTCATGGATCTATGTTCTAGCTATTTTCAAGCAACAGTGGGCATTAGCTGGTGGGAAACGATGGAGACCTTGGGACTTAATGATATGTAAAAGATTTGCAGAACTGCATTGATTGTGGAGGGAAGAAAGGCGATTTGCTATTAGCATGTTTTAAAAATAATTTCTGTTGGAGTTTCTATCCCTGTTGTAAAGTGCACATATTTACAGAGTTGTATTGTATTTGGACGTATGAATGTCAACTGGCCAGTAGAATAATCGTTCTATATTGTTAGCATCTTATATCAGATGGTGGTGTACCATGTTCTAATTATGGATGGTTTTCTTGAATCTCAATTCATGATTCTCGATTTCTTGATAATTGTTCTGGAAGGTTGTATATACCCTTTGTAAAGTGTTCATCTTTACAGAATCATGTGGTTTTTAGAGGCAAAAGAGGCTTTTGTCGTTATAATATTTTCCCTATAATTTATATACTAGATAAAGGCATACTTTATTCAGATGGGGGGCAGTTGTCCTGAATTGCAATTTACAGATTTCTAGAAAATATTCTGGGCAATTGTGTTGCTTTGGGTATAACCAATTTTATAATTTTTATGTTCGTTTTTTACATCATAGTGGAATCATCAGCTGCTCCGGTGGGAGGCTGTTAGTCCATTTAATATAATCGTTTTATTTTGTGGTAAAATTAATCAGCACTTGTTACGTATCACAGTATTTATCCGTGAAAGATGATTAAAGATTGTGTGTACATTTAGAGATGATAGAATTCTGAGGACTCTGCGTTTGTGTATGTTTAGTAAGAAATTTGGTGACTCCACACCTGTTTTTGTGTACATTCAGAGGGCGTAATAAATGACCAAGTATATCTTGTCTATGTGTAGTTTAGCAGACATTGTATGACACCACGTATAATTATGTACATCTGTGTGTATGTACGTTGTTGCCTTTAGCTGCTGCAGTGGGATCGACGTATTTATATAGCTGCATTTAAAGAATGCAGGCGTATATGTTTGCACGCAGTAAATTCTGGTGGGCGAAGTTAATGAAACGTGCATCATCACTAAATTAATCGCTCAGTTATTTCTTTGTTTGGACAATGGGATTCTGAGCGCATCTGGCTGTTTCTATACATAGTCATTTAATTTTTAATAATGTAGTACAGTGGTTATTAAATGATTAGTGTATCTTATTTGCTTGTGCCCGTACATTGTGACTCCCCCCCCCTCCCGATTTGTGGAGCTAACTTATTGTAGCGGCGGGAAACTAGCAGTTCTGATTGTACCATTCTATCATTACGTGCGTTTTCCTCAATTATAGAGCGTGCCTAGTATATCTCATGTATCGTTACAGCTCATTGGGTTTCTAGCTCGATATCTCTCCCCTTGCATGTGCTGTCCCTGTGCTGCGTGGTTAAAGACGTTTTCATATTATTCGCGTCACCGAATTTCTCGCGTGTGTGCCTCACATATTTAACATTTTTATGTTATGTGTTTTTGGGGGAGGTTTATTACATCTCGTGTCTCGCGTACGTTTTACTGGGAAGGCAAAAGAAATCTTCCAGTTTTTATTAAAGAGGTGGGCTAGTATTGTAGCCATTTATATATATAAAGTATATGATTCCGTATTATATTCTGTACAGTATGATTAATTTGCGTATGTAGTATGAGTATGTAGTATATTATGAAGGTGTGGAAGTTATCGGTATGTGGTTTTGAACGTAAGTGCCTTCTCTAATATGCAGGTATTCATTATATATTGAGCTGGTGGAGTCTTAGCGATCTCCTTATCTACTGTACCCGCCAAATAAGAATGACTAGTGGTGTTGATGATGACGATGATGATGATGACGACGACGATGATGACGACGACGATGATGACGACGATGACGACGATGATATTGGTGATTTGAACAGGAAGCCTTCGTCTTCACTAACTCCTTGTATGACATTTAGTTTAGAGCTAGCTATTATTGGTATACTAGAAACAGTTGTGCGGATCGCGTTATGGAAAACTTATGCTTAATGATTATTGATACCGTACGTAATGCACAACGTTATATGCTTATCATGTGTCATCCACGACGATGACGATGGCGACAGTGATAATTCTGTGCAGTGAGTTCTGCGTGCTAGTTTATTGAAGTTGATGGTAGCTTTAGAGCCTGCGTGTATAAATATCCGAATCTTCATCAAAATTTACCACCTTCCCTTTCTTTGCAAACTTATAATTACCTGCTATGTGTAATGTTACTGGTAATGTAACGTGCATTGCTGATCGTTTGCATGCGACTGTGTGCCAAAGTTACATTAGGTATGATACCTGTAGATGTAGCAAAGCTCGTATATTAGAAGGAAAGAAATAATTCCCTCTCTATTGTTATCCTTCGCGTCGATATTCTAGGCTCCCTTCATTCCATCTATATTACTGTATCAAATTTTCCTGTGTTCACACCGCCACCCGGGTTTACAGTGCTAGAAGTTTGTTGTAAAGAAGACCCGGTCCCATGTTAATAAATAGGTCCTAGTTATACTTCTTCACGCTTCGAAATCGTGTGAAGTGGTGTATTTCAGAATTCTACTCCATCCCATGTTATGCCTGCTGTAGCTAGTGCACGCGCAGCTGCGTCAACCGCCGTAAGTATACGTGCGCCAACCATAAGTTGTCGAGGAGGGCCGCGTATCTTGCTTTGTAGCTCTACCAATGTAGCCCCTTCGCTCTCGTTACAGGAATGCTCCTGTAGCGGCAGCGAAGGATTTACACTGGTAGAGCTACTTGCTTGGGATCTTTACAGTGTCGATTGTACTATGGTGCTCTGACATTTATGATGTGAGTCCGCAGTTTGGAAGTGTGAATAGGTGATTCCCTCTAAATAATAATAATGCGAAATTTAAATCATAAATCGAAACTTAACACGTGTAACACGAGCACATCAACTGTCACTAGTTTTATTTCACTATATGTAACTAATCTTACTCTAACGGTACCAGTCTATGCAAATATCATTTCATTATCGGTTTTTAAAGATGTTTTATTGTTGCATACTCTTTGTATTCGTACTTGAAGCTCCTGGTCCGTCTATTTTTTGGGAGCGGACATCGGAAATCGCACGATTCTCTACGTCAACACGGCCAAGTTTGACCAATATTGGACCGATTTGCCCACTTGCTGGTTAAGAAATCTCATCCATATTGTAGTATTATAGCCAGTGCATACGCGTGAGCTAGGTGGGGATGCCAATCTCGTTAGAGCTTGTAGATGAAAGCGTGCTGTTTGTATTTATCGCGATGATTGGAAATAAATTACTGACATTTGATTACTGATATCACTTCCTTCCGCATCACACGCTTTTCTTTTGTTTCTTCAGGTTTTTTTTTATATCTGTCAGAGTCAAACTCAGTCAATACATAGTGAAGCGGATAAGCACATAAATCGGCACATTGTGCATTTTTAGCTCAGCTAACGAAGTCAGATGCAGCTTGTAGAATCGCATGGTTGTCCGTCCGTGCGTGCGTCCGTCAACAGTTGGGCACAAATATTAACCGCTCGACGTACGGTCTTGATATTCGGGACGTCGGTGGGTGGGTGGAAGGGGGAGGGGGGATCGCGAAAAGGACTGGATGTCGAATTTAAGGGTCAAAGGTCAAGATGTGTCAATGGAGGGGGAATATTTCCCCCTTAAGTTAAGGTATAGGAGGAAATACGGAATTGCGGCACAAATCGCAACGGCTTGAGTTACGCTCTTAATATTCAATGTATAGTGTGATGGAGAGGAAACCCATCACCAGCGCGAAATTGGAGGTCACAGGTCAAAGGGCCGTGGAGGAAAGGTCAGATATCAGACATTTTCTGAGGACATGGTCTAACGGACCGAGTGCAAAACTTTTTTGTTGCAGCGCTGACTTACCATTTCTATCACTTTATTGAAAGAACCATGAAATGTACTTTCAGCTGACGTGCGAAGAGTACGTGTCTGATAACCTTTTGACCCTCAAGAGGAGGGTTAAACATGGATTTGTTGACTGTTAACAAAAGGACTGAACTGCTTTTGCTATTAGACCCCCCCCCCCAACCACCACCACTACGCTTGCGCTCGACGCATATCCATGATAACATGTTAATATATAGCAAAGTCATTAAAGTTACACAGCTGTATCTTTATTACTGTATGCCTACTACCAGTAGGTATAGCAAAGCCTATCATAGATTTTAGATCTGTATTAGTAGTATCTTTTATATAAAGTTGTTCAGCCGAATTAGTTCGTACTCGCATAACTAGAGAACTCCGCAGCCTAGAGAAAAACTAAAGATATTTTCAGAATCAGCACGTCTGAGAGGTGGTTCAGGCTGAAACAAAAAATTTTAAAAGTTAAAAAGTCATAAAAATTATATTCATCAATAGAGGGCGGGGCGTACAGATTAACATCACGCACGTGTGAATCCATGGGGTATGCCCTTAACGGCACAGTGGTCTAATCGCTAGAACATCCGTTTCCTACACCGGGATTCTGGGTTCAAGTCCCAGCTGGGGAACTTATTTTTATTTTTTCCCCTTTTTCCCCTTTACCTACCTCTTTAGTATGTATTATTTTTTATTTTTATTTTTTATTTTTTATATTTAATGTCTTTTATCTTTTGATTTCTTATTATTTTTTTACTGATTTCGGCGATGGGCATGGGATGGGATGGATGGCATGGCTGCTGGCATGGCACCACACCGGCTCAATGGCATGGCATTGGGTCATTGAGTCAATGGGCTGGGATGCAGTGCGATGGGATGCGGTGAATGCGGGATGTGATGGGGGATGGCATGCATGGCATGGCATGGCATGGAGATGGATTGAGATGCGATGAGTGGAATATGGGTGGTGATTTGCGGAACCAACTGGAAGTGGGATTGGTGGATTGGGAATGGTTGGATGGATGGATGCTATGCGGAATATGAGTAGATAGTTATATTCTTTTGTGGTATTTTGCTTTTACCAAGCTGGTCTTCACAACTGAGTAACGTCACTGATTACTCTCCGGGCAACGCGGCTATCGCGCTTAGCTCCTTAGATTAGCTGCTGAGCGCGAAGCGGTGGCAGGAGGGCCGCACTTGATTTCGTGGTTGCCAGTCGAAAGCTTTATCAGAAGAATACCATGGCTACGTACGTCAGTTTTGCAGCGCTGTCGCTGGTCTGCGGATACTTTGTTAGATTCAGCTGTACGAAGTCAGATGCAGCTTGTGTAGAATGCATGATTGTCCGTATCGTCCACTTTAATAGTAGTAGTGAGAATTACGGTAATTGCGGCACAAATTCTTCAACGGGATTCGAACTTGCGGAGTGTAGGTAGGTAGTAATGGGCAGGAAGACCATCACGTGCGGCGAATTGGCAGTTACACAAGGTTAAAGAGCCAGTTGAAGAAAGTGTAGATATCAGACATCTTGCTGATGGACATGGTCTAAGGAACGAGATGCAAACTTTTTGTTGTTGCAGCGCGCTGACCTACATTTCTATCATTTATTTGACAAGGACTGCATGAAGTGTATCTTTCAGCTGACGTGCGAAGAAGTACCTATAGTAGAGTGTTCTGATTAGCCTTTTTTGCCTCAAGAGGAGGATGGTAACATGTGATTTGTCTGAATCGTTTAACAATGGTGAACTGCGCTTGTTGCATTTAGAGCCCTCATTCCCCAACCTTCCCACCACACCACTACGCCTCGCGTCGACGCGATTCTCCGATGTTAACATGTTAATTATTACGCGAGTCATTAAAGTTGTTTACACAGGTGTTTCTTTATTACTGTACATACCGGCTATAGCAAAGCTATCATAGATATTGTTTAGAATCTGTATTTAGTAGTTATTCTAGATACATGCTCTTGAGCGCAAACGCGCGTGGCGGGAGGGTCGCACTCTCATCGAGTTGCCAGTGAGTTTATCAGAAGATACGCGCTACAGCACATGTCGAGTTGAGCGCGTGTCGCATGCGGCACTTGTTGGGTAGGATTGTGAAACTGCAGACGTTCCGAACTACTGAGTCGTAACGATTTTCTGATAAAATGCATTGACGCACACCTCAAATGTGGCCACAATGTTTAATGTCACTACCTAATGTTGGAGTAAAAACGTAGATTTCATTGTGCAATCTAGCATTTTGGTTATTGTAGTGTAGTCAAATAGTTGTGATTGATTACTGTAGCACCAGGGTGTGAGGGTATAAAAGTCGGCAGTAATAATGATAGAATAGCAACAGTGAGAGCGAGATGAGAAAATCTGGAGATGATCGTCGAGTAGAGCGAGAGGAGAGGTCGTTGCTTGGTTGTCCCCTAAAAAACGGATGAGATAATCGAGAAACGATGTCTCCGCGAGAGGATATTAGGCAGAGATGCTGAGGAGACTGACCCGAGATTGACCTCTATCATATCTCTCTACGCGCGGTATCCGATTCCATTTCTCGCAGGTCCGTTAGTTCGTTGAGAGCGTTCTTTCTCTGGTGCACAACTCGGCGTGAGACTTCAGTACGGGACAGCAGCTGTCTAACGGCTTCAACGCTCGGGTCTACCGGACTGGCACAGTCTTGGCACTGCAGAGCGTTCCACGCTCCGTTACGGTCAACGGCATTTTTAGTCCTCGCCTCCCCTCCTAAGCGCCGTCTATTTGTTTAGTATCGCTCTGTTCATCCACCCTTTGTTTTCTCCACTTCGACTGCCCCTTCTGTGGACCTTCTTTCACCGCGCCTCCCCATCTCACTCCATCTCTACACCTACTTCCTCTCCCCCGTGCGAATGGTTTCCTATCCGAGTCAGTGGCGCCTTCAGCCTCGTCGAGACAGATGGGTCCTCGGAGAGCAGCGAAGACGGAGCTGACAGCGATTGCAGAGGAAAGATGTCGGGTGATGTAGAATGAAAGCATGCTCGAGAGCGAGAAAGCAAAGATGGGAGGAGAGAGCGGCGAAGATGAAGAGAGAAAGATGAAGGAAGAGATGAGAGATCCGACGAGAGAGAGATGAAGAATTGGAGATGGAAGCACGAATTCTTGTGTCTGGTCCGAGCGTACACGAGAGAGAGAGGCGACGAGAGAAGATGCGGGCAGAGAGAGAGGAGAGAGGAGAGCAGAGACTGCGCGAGATGAGAAAGCGCGAAGGAGCGAGAGGACAGAGAGCGGAGGGAGCGGAGAGTAAGATTAGGAGGAATTGAGAGAAGAGAATGGAGTGAAAGATGGTATGACGACGCGCGGCGAGCAGAGTGAGAGAAGTGGAGACAGAGCAGAGAGGAGTAGAGGAGTGGCAGAGAGAGAGAAGACGAGAGTAGATAGAGGAGAGAGAGGCGCGATTAGAGCGGGATGAGAAATGGTATGTGGACCGAGCATGAGCTAGAGAGCTGAGAGAGAAGTGAGTGAGAGCAGATAGCCGTGGAGAAAGATAGGAAGGAGTCAGGGGAGACGCCGATAGAAGGCAGGTAGCAACTAGACACGATGTAGAGCAGGTAGCAGATTACGAGCGGAGTAGAGCATGGTTAGCAGAGGAGACCAGCGAATAGCGATCAGATCAGGTAGCAAAGAGACGCGCATATAGCGATAGGCTCAGCGATAGCAAGATGACTAGCGAGGAGGACAGCGCAGTAGAAGTATGGACAGCAATAGAGCGGAAGGGCAGGATAGCAAGAGACAGCAATTAGCGATGTAGAGCAGGGGGCGTTAGCAAGAGACGAGCGAATATGCAATAGAGCAGTTAGCACATACAGCATAGCGACAGGAGCGGTAGGCAAGAGACGGCATAGACGACAGGAGCATGGTTCGACAAGCAGACCCAATAAGCGATCAGAGCAGGTAGCAAGAGGACAGCGTTGTAATGAGCGAGTTAGGGAGAGTGAGCAGACAGCGAATTAGCGATAGCGAAGCACGGTGAGCAAGAGTACAGCGAATATCGACAGCAGCAGGGTAGCAGAGACAGCGAATAACGATTTTAGAGCTATAGCTAGTAGCTAGAGACCAGCGCAATAGCGGACAGAGCACGGCTAGCAAGAGACAGGCATAGCGATTAGAGCAGGTATAGCAAGAGACAGCATAGCGAGGTAGAGCAGGTTAGGCAAGAGACAGCAATAGCGACAGAGCAGGTAGCAAGAGACAGCAATAGCGATAGAGCAGGTAGCAAGAGACAGCAATAGCGACAGAGCAGGTAGCAAGAGACAGCAATAACGACAGATCAGGTAGCAAGAGACAGCAATAGCGATAGAGCAGGTAGCAATAGAGCAGATAGCAACATACAGCAATAGCGACAGAGCCGGGTCTGCAAAGAGAGATCAGCAAGATTAAGCGAATAGAGCAAGGTGATAGAAGAGGACAG